TATCCGACAATAATATCAGTGCTTGCTTCACTCCTGTTGATGTAGGAAATTACAATCAGCAGGCAGGTACCATAGATCACACAGACAAAAAAGATGTATCATCTGTTACACTATTAGTATTTGCGGGATTAAAATAGTGCCAGCGTGGGAACACTTCATTGTGCGCATACATAAATAGCCGATACAATAGTCCTAGAAAAAAAATCCTCTTGGCCCTGCTTATGACAACCCCCGAAAGGCGGACAGTTTAAAAACCTAAATTCTTTAAAGCAAAGCTTTGCTGTTTAGAGGTCTTGAGCACACACCCTTACGAGCCGTCCGATCGGGATCCCGATCGCCAGGTGTTCCGCGGTCGGGTTTTACGGAGCGGAGGGAAACGCGAACGAACAACACACAGCGGGAGTGGGCCCCAACCAAACCCACGCTCCCACATCCACAAGCGCACGCCTGTTTCTTCTCCCAAATCCACCGCTGCGTTCGTCGATCCGCGGCGCCGGCCGCGCCGCGCTCCGCGAGCTCTTGCTCGTCTCCCCAGCCGGCGTTGGGGGCTAAGGTGACAGATCCACAGGCTGCTCCCCCGCCCCAGATTTTCCCTCGCCAAATCCGTCGGCTCCTTGCCGCCGTTGTCTCCGCGGTCGCCGCGATGCTCGACTCCGGCGACCTCCTCCCAGCCTCCCGCGACAAGGCCGTGTCCGTGTTGGTCGCCTTCGCGTCCTCCGAAGGCGAGCGCGCACCCATCTCCACGAGGAAGGCGAGCGCGCACCACCCCCACGCTCCTCATTCAGTGGCGCTGGCCCCGACGCCGTTGTAGCGGGCCTCTTCCTCTCCAGCATCTCGTCGCAGGCCACATCGGGGATGGCCTCGACCTCCTGCTGCTAGCTGCTGGTGCACCTCCTTCTCCCTACCGCTATCTCCTGCTGCACCCTACAGCTGCCCCAGCTCCGATGTCTGAACTTTTACTTGTGACCGTGTACAGGTGCTGGCTGTAGCTTGAACTGGAGGTCTGGAGCAGAAAAATTGCATCGAGGTAGCAGGTGGATGATGGTGCTGGTGCTTTTCTCTTGAATTTTTGCTGGTGATGGCTGCAATTTGAAGGAGTATTTTTTTTCCTTTCTCTCCTTCCAATTCTGTAATTGTGCTTCCCCTACGCGTGATGATGTTTCTTAGCACAAGTTGCATTGTCTTGGGTTGATCTGCTGTGATAGTTAGGAGAGATGATAGTAGCAAGTATAAACTCTCTACTATGATTATATTCATAACACATGGCAAAAAAGAGACTGCATTATTAAGTAATCTGTTGTTTGGTTACCATTTCAATTCTTTTTTAGCCATTATACATGTGTCATGTATGAGAACTTGATAGATATTTGCTTATCTGTGTCCAAGTGATTACAACATATAATAAAGCAGGAAAAACAAGATTTATATTGGGCATTGTTTTTAAGGCGGTAAGGCGACCTAAGGCGAGCACCACCCGCTCTAGCGCCTAGGCGACGCCTAAGAGCCTAAGGCGGACGCCAGGTGCCTAAGGCAGGCATATTGGTAAGGCGCTGCCCGGGCACCTTATCGCCTAAGCGTCCAAGGCAGGACGCCTTAAAAACAATGATATTGAGCTATTATACTCATTTCTTCTATTGGACTTGCTCAAACTTGCATGTTTTTTTGTTAGTAGTTGCCTTGTTCCTGCTATTGGACTTGCTTAATGGGTCGACGGGCTGTTTGTATCCACTATTTTATTTTCGTTGGAAAGCAAGCTAATGAGTTGGCTGCAGAATCTATGGAAATTGTCTACAAACCCAGTATGAGTTGCTTCCTTTTAATCCCTTCTCTAAAGAAAACCTGGTTTGCCTGGATATAGTATGCAATTTGCTTAGATTAGAGCACAACTTGCCTGCAATAACTAAAGCATTTGTCCATGGGACACAACACAACTTGATGTTCCGCACAATATAGGTCCACATTTATTTGCCTGAAACTTGTATGCAAATTGCCTACAAACCAAGTTGTAGTTGCTACTGACTTTCGCTATTTATTTTTCTTCGGCTAGCAAGCTGATGAGGTTGCTGCATTATCTATGGAAATTTCCTACAAACCCAGTACGACTTGCTACCTTTCAATCATTTTTTATATGTGGTGCATATACTGGTTAGTAGTCTCCATGTGTTTGTTATTTTTTCATAATAATTTCCTCAAATTTTGTATGTAGTTGCCTCAAATAACACATGAACCTTACTCTTCGTTTATTTTCCTTAACATTTCATAATAATTGGGGTAATTTTATACTTGAAGTTTAAATGTGACAACACATTATCACTGTATGTTTTATCTCTTGTTTTGCTACATTGGGATTTTTTTAATCGGGGGTGCTGAATGGGGGTATTCTCCCCCCTGTTTTTTACAGCCACATGCTTTCATTTTTAGGTGCCTCATGTTAACGACAACACATGCCTCAGATGATTTTGTCCATGATGATCTGGGTATGTTAACAACAACAGATGCCTCAGATGAGTGATGTTTTTGTTATTTTTCGGTGCGCATTGGAAGGCGATTCACCTGTTTTTTGGGGTTTACTTGCCTGGAATTGGTATGTGAGTTGCCAGTATCCGAGAGACCATATCCAGAAAGTCATCTGAATGCACTCTTTTTCTTTTTGTGTAGTAGGAACTAATGGATGGACCAAGAAAAAAGGGCATTCAAGAAGATCATCATGCAGTTAATCGTGATGCTGATCCCTCGCATGCGATTGAAGATCATCACGAGGTGTGTCCGAAAAAAGATTCAATAAACTTGTTGTGTGTTCTTTTAACTTGTTGTGTGTTCTTGTTGCAGGGCCAGAGAAGCACACCCTTTATTGGGTACCAGCGTCGAGGAAGAAAGGAGATTGCTGCCCGTGGCAAACGTCCGCTGGACATCAACAGCAATTCGAGTGTTTCCACAGATGGTGATTGAAATTCTGAGAAAGACACTGCCGTGGAACAACCACCAAAAGCAAAACGTCAAAGACCGGATTTAACGAGGTAATACACAGTTGCTTCACTTTTGATCAACACTTGCCCAAGTTCTGCTGTCAAGTTGCCTAACTGTCCAGGAAATACACATGTTTCATCTGTTGTTGTATTTTTCTTCTAGGATAATAGAACAGGGCATCGCCTGCAAAGCTTTTCAAGCTGAATAAACTTCTTGTACCTGTTCAACAAGGCCAAGCTCAAGTCACTTTCAGTCAATTTCTGACACCAGGTACCATAAATCCATCTCTATATGACAATAGTTGTTGCATAGTAGTAATGCTTTCTTGCCTAACCTTATTTTTCTTCAACCATCTTTTTTTACATTCATTTCTTTCTTGCTTAATCATGACATGTAAGTTGCCTAAACATATCACCAAACTTGCCGAAAACACCTGAAGTTTTGCTTCGAAAGAATACCCATGCCAGTTTCATCTTTGATTCACAGTACTACTGAATTTGCACAAAACAAGCCCTAAAACTTTACCTACCATTGTTTTCTTGCAACCAGTTTTGTTACACATCATTTTCATCCTTTGCTTAAACATAACATGTAAATTGCCTAAAACATACTCCGTCCATCCGAAAAAGCTTGTCCCTCAAATGGATGTATCTAGCGCCAAGTTAGTGCTAGATACATCCATTTGAGAGACAAGTTTGGGATAAGCTTTTTCGAATGGAGGAAGTAGCACTTAGCTGGCTAAAAACATCTGGAGTTTTGCTTCATAATACCCATACCGGTATTTCTTGCTTCACATTTGTCCTAATTTTGCCCAAACAAACCCTCAAACTTGCCTACCATTATTTTCCTTCAACCAGCCTTTTTTTTACATTGACTCCCACCCTTTTTGCTTAATCTTAACATGTAAGTTGCCTAACCATAACACTTAAACAACCAGTTGTTGCACAACACTCCTGGGTTTGCCCCAATAGGGCTTGAAGCTTGCCTAAACATCTACACGCACCTTGCTTACGATCTACAGTTGCTCAAAACAGGCCAAGTAAGTTGCTCAAAACGGGCCAAGCAAGTTGCTTTACCAGCAAACATACTTGTGTTTCTACCACTTATTAAGCAGAACAACAAATCCATCAAAGAAATTAGGCAAAAAAATCCGACATTTGCAGCAATTAACCGCACCTGTGCAACTTTGTATTTCTGTTTTTTCATCCACTACATGTTCTTACACATTTTTTTCGAACTGCAGCCATGTGCAGATCATGGGGAAAGGGAAAGGAAGGCTTGTGTTCTTCAGTAACCCAGGGGACAGGGATAAAAGAGGCACACAATCAAGGGGGAAAGTGAAAGCTAAATCTGATATTTTTCTGTGCTTCTTCTACCCTTAGTCAATATGAATTGCCTGGAGAACAAATCCTAAACCAGCCACCATTGGAGGATTGTGGAGAGTTTTCTGTATGTGGGAGTTGTCCCTTTGTGGGTTGGGAGAGAAGAAGACGGGGCTGGGCGATTTGGTGGGGAGAAAAGGAGACGCCCAGGGGGGTGGAGGAGGGAAACACGTGGGGGAGGGAGGATCAGGTGAGTAACGTGGCTCGATGGTGCGAGGAATAGGGAGCGGGGGCCAGGTACTTTCCTATCCTCGACAGGGGGGGCAGAAAATTACTATTTTGGGAGGGCTGCCAGGGAACGCTAGGGAGCAGCCGGCTGCTCCCTAGATGCGTCAGTTTAAAAAAGCAAGTAAGAAATATAATAAATGCAACTAACTAAATGTGACAATGTACTGTGTAGCCTTGATCAACCTGGATATATTTGTGTATGTGGTGTACTACACACAGAGCATGGACTGACCATGGCAAAACTCACAGTTACTGCAATAGTATAGCTGAGTAACCTTGATTAACCTGGATATATTTGTATATGTGTATACATCTTGTTACAAAAAGCTAAATACCCATCATAAATCACTAACAACCTATATACATCCACTGTTTTTGTCAGATGCTGCTATGGAGTGACCACAGCAGAACTCATCGCTGGCTTTATGGGTCTGTGCTCCCCTGCTTCTTCAGTACATGGTACCTCAGCCCCCTGTTAACATCTGCAGCATCGATGGAGATCGTCGAGCCTTCACAAGCTTCTCCATTAACCAGCATGTTTGAAAGAACTGTCGTCACATTCTTCTCCACCCACCTCCTCATGGGCCTTGCGCCATTTACCAGGTGGTATGATTCCGACCAAATGACGTCCAGCGCGGCATCAGTTATAAATAGAGAGACACCTTTGTTAGCTACTGTGGCAATGACATCCTTCATCTGGATTTTCACTATTTCCTTCAGTTCGTCGTGTGAAAGCGGCTCAAATATCACAACCTCACTCAGTCTGTCAATAAGTTCAGGCTTCAAGCGTTTCTGAACCTGCAAGAACAAATGCATATGGCAATTAGCGGGCATCCATTAAGAGTCTTAAAAAGGGCACTCTGAGATTTACAGACCTGCTCCATAAGAAGACCTCGTCCAGCTTTGACTGTGTTTTCTATGCCCATTCTTGTTGTTAGCTGCTCTGCTCCTAGAGTTGAGGTCATAATGATGATAGTGTTTTTAAAATCTACGACGTGTCCTTTGCCATCAGTCAGCGTACCATCATCAAGGAGTTGGCTAAAAACCTTGAATATTGAGGGATCTGCCTTATCCACCTGGTCGAAAAGGACAACGCTGTATGGGCACCTCTTGACTTTCTCGGTAAGTTGTCCACCTTCTTCATAGCTTTAGAAAGTCAAATGAATTAGTGAGATATGGAAATAGAGTGTGACAAGGAATTAAACATGTGCAGGAAGCCAGGAAGCGTGGGAGAATCAAACCTTCGAGGTCCCCCAATGAGGCGCGACACAGACCCACTCTCAGCATATTCCGACATATCAAAGCGGATCAACGCCTTCTCATTGTCAAATATCCTCTCGGCGAGAGCTTTTGCGAGTTCTGTTTTTCCAACACCAAGCGGTCCCAAAAAGAGGAATGAACCTATCGGTCGGCTAGATCGACCAAAACCAACCCTAGAACGTAGCACCGCTTGCGCAACCAAATTGACCGCTTCATCCTGACCGATGACTTGCTCATGCAATTTTTCCGCTAGGTGGACTAACTTCTCCTTCTCCTCTTGACCAAGTGTGGTGAGAGGGATTCTAGTGCATCGACTGACAACCTTCAAATAACATTTGAAATATGAAAGGTACATACTATTGATAACAACAGAAACTATTCACACATATCATTATGATTTACCTGTGCGACATGATCTGGGCCAACAGTTAACTCCTTCGGTGCAAATATAGAGCTAATTATATTATTCTCCATTTTCTGCTTGTCAAAATGCACCTTTGCAGTAGAGCATGCCTCGTCAATCAAATCAATCGCCTTGTCAGGAAACTGGCGACCTGAGAACACACAAAATCAATCAATCGCCTTCAACATACATACACTGATTAACAAGTTGCAACTAACACAGTAGTAAACTGAATTATATTTTTATCTTTTTGAAGGCTTGAGTTACGAACCAGTAATATAACAGGCGGCGAGCTGTGCTGCAGCAACGAGAGCATCGTCCTGGATTTTCAAGCCATGGTGCTCTTGGTACCGCTGTTTCAGCCCTTTTAGGATGGTGATGGTGCCCTGCACGCTTGGCTCCTCGACGACAACCTTCTGGAACCGGCGCTCAAGTGCAGCGTCCGTCTGGATATACCTGTGGTACTCTTCGCAAGTGGTAGCACCCACACAACGGATGCGGCCGCGGGCTAATGCTGGCTTGAGGATATTGGCGGCGTCCATGGGGCCTCCTTTATCGCCAGCTCCAACAATCATGTGCAACTCATCAATGAAGAGGATCACCTTGCCTCCTGCCTCCTCCGCGTGCTTGATGGCGTCTTTCAAGCGCTCCTCGAACATGCCACGCCAGCATGTCCCGGCAACAACCGCTCCCATGTCGAGCTCCAGGATGCGCGCTCCAGCGAGGGCGTCCGGGACGTTCCCGGCGGCGATGCGTTGGGCGAGGCCCTCAACGATGGCCGTCTTACCGACCCCCGCGGCGCCCACAAGCGCGGCGCAGTTCTTGGTGCGGCGTCAGAGGATGCAGACGACGCGGTCGATCTCGTCGTCGCGTCCGACGACCGGATCAGCCCTGCCGGCGTCCAAGGCGCTGAGCACGCTGCAGGTGGTGATGGCCCGCTCCGCCTTGTCGTTGTTCTGGGCGCGGGTGTAGATGTACCGGCTCCCAGGGGACAGATCCGGGGGCATGATGTCGAAGGCGTACGAGCGCTGGAAGTAGAGGTCGTAGAACGCCGACGCCGCCAGCGTCACGGCACTGCCCGTGACGGCGGAGGCTACGACGAAGGCGAGGCCTGACCACGAAGACATTGTTCCAAGGCTCGATTCGATCGATATGGCAAGAGGTTGTGGGGTGCATATATATGTAGGCTACGCAGGGCAGGGCGTTCGGTCTCCGATTTGGAGGGAGTAGAGCTCACCGAGTCGCCGTCGGCTCGGCCAGGAGAGGAAATCCGAGTGCACCTCTGGTGCCTATTGGGGCTGGGGCTGGCGCGAGGCAACGGCGGCCGGCGGAGAAAGGGGATTAGGGGCGGCCGGCGCAGCAAGCGGTTGCGCGGTTAGGTTCGGCGCGCCGCCATGGAGAGGTGCGAAGGGTAACACGGGAGAGACTCCTGTTCCACGCTGAGGGCAAACGCGTACCAACCCGACGCGTGAGAGCTAACGGGCTGGAAGCAGCCAATTAAAACCTAACATACCCGTTTTTTCTACTACGGTCGGTTTTCTTTTAAATACTTTCTAAAAAAATATTTAAAATATACGAAAATTTAAAAATCGTTCAAAGATTATAAAAATAATAAATAATTAAAACATATTCATGAATTCGAAAAATGTTCTTGAACTAACAAATGTAATTGTTTACAAATTTAAAAAGGTGCAGATTATAGAAATGTTCATGAATTCAAAAAATGTTCTTGAGCTAAAATATAATTGTTTACAAATTTAAAAAAGGTGCAGATTATACAAATGTTCATGAGTTCAAAAAAATGTTCTTGATCTCAAGAAATGTTTGCGAATCTAGAAAATGATTGTGAATTTCAAAAAATGTTTGCAAATTCAAATGTTTGTAAATTGAAAATATGTCCATGAATTCAAAAAGTGTTCGCAAATTCAAAAAGTGCTCCGCGCCATGTCCTCCTGAGATGGAGGAGGATTTTTCACCCTGATTGCTGGTAAAAGGGGTACTAAGAGAGGCCAAGGAGATGACCCCAAGAGGGACATGACACCCACATACATCAACACCGTCGACGGCAAGGCGCGGAGCTTTCACTCGGCACCTCCAACACACCACGCCAAAGGCACCCAAGCCGACGTCGCATAACACCGGGGTGGCCTAACTACCGGGGGGTCGGTCCACCAGGCAGGACTCAGCGCTCAGTGAGCCAAGGAGTGGCCCATCCCCCTCTGCCCGCAGGTGAACGTCTCATTGTAGCTTGGTGAAGAAGTTAGGGACTCTAGGTTTGTCCTAGACTCTAGGTCGAATAAGGAATCATGTAGACTAGGGCCTCGTTCTCCTTTTTAAAGCGAGGCCAGGGTTAGCTCAGGGCACTACTTGCTCTCTTGTAAGAGTGGTTGGGCATCCCCCTGAAGTGTAAGGGTGAAATAATCTAGCAATAAGTATTTCCCTCGATTGAGAACAAAGGTTTATTGAACCAATGGTAATTTCTTATGCAACCCATCTTCGGTACCTGCACACAAACACAAAAACAGTGTCGCTCCCAAGGTTTCAGTAAGGTTATCAAGCTTTTTGTCCTGCTAGTTACAAGGATAAATTGTATGGTACGTTAGGAATAGATGTGTAAAATAATAAAACTGGAACAACGAGAAATTTAAATTATAAAGGTGTATACAATTAAAGAAGATAGACCCAGTGGTTATATTGCAATGTTTATATTTATGACTATGATTATTCATGGCATAGGCATTACGTCTGCTATATGTATATCATTATATAGCTACATCTACAACTAATAGTCCACCTAAAGACTGCTATCGAGCATGAATCTTGAGGTATAAAGTTTATACAAATATACTATTGTAATAAGCATGATGACAAATATAGATATTAAACTATAATCCAAGTGTGATAAAAATCATCGTTTTATCCTTAGTAGCAACAATACAATACATGTCTGCTCCCTTTCTGTCACTGGGATGGATCATCACAAGATTGAACCCACTATCGTACACAACTTCCTCTGAAGACCTAACTATCAAACCTTGCCAAAGTAGACAAATAAATCATAGAGCATACACGACTACTTAAGTATACAACAAAGAAACATCAAAAGATTCAGTATAATTCAATGAACAATCTGATCATAAAGTCACAGATTATCAGATCCAAACAAACACAACACCTAATTACAACATATGGATCCCGATCGCGATCACGTGATGTAGCTCACGGGAACTTTATATTGAATCACAAGGGAAAGAGGACGTCACCTAACTAGTGCTATGTACCCAAGGTCCTAAGGGAACTACTCAAACATGGCCATGGTGGCAACAACGTTGATGAAGATGACTCTGGCAATGGATTCCCCCTCCGGCAGGGTGCCAGAATAGGCCTCCGGTTTGGATCGCCCTGGAACAAGAATTTGCAGCGGCCTATAAAATTGTACTAAGGATGTCTGGTGAGTGCTATTTTTACACTCCTCTAACCTGAGTTTAAACCAAATTATTTCACTAAAACTGAGATATTCACTCTGATATTGCCACTAGTGACTAATATATGCAAAGGATTCCAAATATCCATTCTTTATTTTGTTTTCACTGGAAATGGGCTATTTATGGACAAAATGAAGCCAGTACATGGAAAGGAGTAAAGTGGAGATAGAGGGGATCAAGTGGGAGGCGCAACAGAGTTGGCAGAGGAAAAGACGTCCTTTCATATGACCACACCCGCTCGTATTGGGCGGTCGTACATGGCAACCGAGGCAGCTCGTCCACCTAAACAACCTTTATAAAGGGGTTGATGCCAAATGAGCAAGAAAACATCGCATAACAAGCTAGTCATCGTCATCTTCAGCATAGCCATCTCCACCAACCCTAGCTGCGGCCATTTCCCATATCCATAGCCATGACCTTCATCACTACCATAGTTCTCAGCAATATAGTCATACTTGTAATCGCGTATCACGCACGGGATCCATTGTAAGACCTATTATCTATCTATCAATCTTCATGATGTATTCTTCGATGGGTTCTTCGTGTGATCTGATGTCCATGTGTGAGTAGTTCAACAAGGCCATGGGCTGAGACAATAGCCTTTCGACACGATGTGTTTGTTGTAGGGATCAATAGAAGTACTTTGAATTAATGTCCCGTATGTGCAACATAAAATTGTTTCGTAGTTGTCTCTTGTCTCATTCTCGTTCTTCATCTGTACAGGTATCTAGGATCATGGAGAATGAGGCACAGAGAGGCTAAGGGCAAGGAGACCGTGAAGTGTTATTCTTAACACCGGTGGCATAAAGCTTTAGTACGTTAACATGGATCCTATTCTTGGGGACACAAGAGGTATAATCATTAAACGTCCAATGCTTTTGTCAGATTACTTGCACCTTTATCAGTTGAACCATTAATGAACTAGCATATATAAAGTTATTCATCTCCCTTAAGAATTCTGCAATAGCAATGTGAAATACCTATGATCATCACACTAGAGATTATGTCTACTACTTAGATCATGATTGTCATCCTGTACGTTCTCTCGAAGTGATAATGGTACCACACATCAATACATATGAATACTCATTGGAAAAAATAATTCCTTGCTCAAAGAGGAAAATGATAGTTCAACCTTATTGAAATAAAATCTACGAGCTAATCTCGGCTTGTTGAAAACAAATGTGTCAAAGTAAAGATACAAAGTAGGCTAGGATCTCCCCAAGCTTACAATCAAGCCAGAGAGGTCTAGGTACTTAGTGTTTTATGCTGACGCCTGGGTATCCTTGTAGCCCTGAATATGCTCTTGAAGCATCCTTCAATCCACTAGTGAAGAAATGGCTAGCCACAACTTTTGTAGGTGGCGCACCATTTCCTACCAACATTAGCACTATTTTTTTATTGGGGAACGTAGCATGCAATTTCAAAAAAAAAAATCCTATGCTCACGCGAGATCTATCTAGGAGATGCATAGCAACGAGGGTGGGGGGGTCTACGTACACTTGTAAACCGAAAGCGGAAGCGTTTGACAACGCAGTTGATGTAATCGAACTTCTTCTAGCTCCGACCAATCAAGCACTGAATGTATGGCACCTCCGAGTTCTGCACACGTTCAGCGCGATGACGTCCCTTGCCTTCTTGATCCAGCAAGGTGTTGAGGAAGTAGATGAGTTCCGTCAACACAACGGCATGGTGACGGTCATGTTGAAGTGATCCGCGCAGGGCTTCGCCTAATTACCGCGAGAATATGACCAGGGGTGTAAACTGTGGAGGTGGACGTCGCACACGGCTAACAATTGATGTTGTTTGTTCTAGGTGCCCCCTCTCCACATATATATAGGTGGGAGGGGGAGGAGAGGCAGCCAGGGGCGACCTAGGGTTGGCCGCCCGCCGCCCTCTAGGGACCTTGCCTTGCCCTGCGCGCCCCTTTCCATGTATGCATGAAGGGGGAAGGAAAGAGGGGGGCGGTGATGGAAGGAAGTGGGAATCCTAATCCACATTTTCCTTTCCCCTTCCCCCTTTCCTTCTCCTCCTCCTATAGTCTTATAGGGCGCACCAGCCCTTGTGGGCTGGTGTGTTCCTTCACAAGGCTCATATGATCCATATGATTGCCGGGGGTACCCGAAACACCTTCCGGTGACCCAATAAGTACCCGGTACTCTCCGGAACACTTCCGGTGTCCGAATTCCATCGTCCTATATATCAATCTT